TGAACATGGACTATCCGAAACGCTTGCATCCCCCAGTGAACTTTGATTTCTAAACTGCTTTGAAAACCCCATATTCCCTTTGCTAACTTAATATTTGGGGACCCTGTTCCTTGGCTGTTTGTTTCTTCGAGTCCTTGTTGGTCAAGTCTCTAGCACATGTTTTTTGTTTTTCTACCTACCACCAAGTTTTGTTTAAAAGACACACAAAACCCTAGAGAGTATCAAGGATAGTCTTACTTGGTTACTAATAATGTGTTTTTATATACTGAGGATAGTTTTGTGCTAAGGCTGTGTTAGAGTTAAAGATTGGTGGATTAAGTCCTCTTTGTTGTGTTGCTTTCGTTGTTGAAAATAAATAGAACTTTGTACTTGTCTCCAAAAAGTATTTTCTTTGATTGTATTCACAAAAACTTTTAGATGTAAAAACCATAAAGGAACTGACATTTTTGGCTCTTATTAATTAGATAAATAATCAGTAAAGTGCTTCCATTTTAGAACTAATAGGCCATTAGAAAGATGCCAGTTCTTCTGGATGGAGCAAAGAGAAGAACTGCATCGAGGACTATGAAAGATGGCAAAATTAGGTGAACTGCTGAGAGCCAAAGGGGAGAGAAGCCAATCAGGAACCATCGGGTGTGTAGCAGAAGGTGTCAGTGCCCCACCCACATACCCTGGCAGTCACCATTCCCACACAAGCCACCAACAGGAGTCCTGTTACAAGCACCTGCCTGAGGCTTTCTCTCTCCTTGAAGCGCTGTGGAGTTGCTTTCAGCAAATAGTGCATGGGAATTAGAGGATGTATATCCAGCTTCCTTGTGACCAGAGAAATGACACAACTGAATATGTCTTTGAGAATTACCCCGTGAGTGGGATAATGGTTTCCAGGCAATCTTTCAGAGGTCTCCAGTAGAAATAAACATAGTTGTCCACAGTGGTCATTGGTTTATGAATGCACCCTGCATAGGCTTCCTTCTCATTTCACATCCCCACCTCCCTACTAAGTGCATCCTGGAGTCATCAGTTACACAAAGATTCTTTCCTTAGAGTCCGCTTCTAGGGGAACCCAGCCCAAATCAAAGAGCTTAACTTTCCCCGTTCCTTAGCATGTTGGAAAGGTAAACCACTCCCAGTAGTAACTGTAGCTTGCTACAATAGTAATTCTTAAGTGGGGATTGGGAGGGGTTGGGTGGTGGGCATTTGTTTAAAATGTGTTCTTCATTCTGATAAGACTCTAGGGTGGTAAAGTTACTACAACTTAACTGGCTTTACAGGGCTGGAAATTCCAGTTTTGTCAAAGCAGGCACAACAGGGTCTGATTTATACCCAGACTTCCAAAAGATGTGTTTAAACCAAAATACACACCAACCTATAATGCTCATAATAAACCACTAACTTTCAAATATCTGGTTTTGTAATTGCTCTGGTCATTTCTTCTCTTGGGCTGGGAGATATATGTAGGGAAACAAATCAGAAGTATTGGGGAGCACAAATCTAATACCAAGGAAAAGGAGTTGGATCTTAATGGTTAATGGTGTTGAGTTATGGCTGCATCCGCTCCAAAGACCAGCTGTTCAAGTCCTGAAGTTGGGATACCTCTCCCTTGGGCCGCCAGATTCTTGTTCTTTGGGTTTTCTTAACTTCACGAGTCTGGCTCTGTTTTTCTGCTTGTGCTCTGGGAGATATCATTTCTTACTCATTTTAGTTCTTGAATTCTGAGCCTTCCTCACTGTCCCCCCTCCTCCCTTTGACATCTTCTAGGCCTTAAATAATTTGTACAACTTCATTAGAGATAGAAGCATTCCTGTCTGTCTCTTTCCCTGCAGCAGTGGGCTATGCTCCTGGTATTCAGTTTTCCTGTTTCTTATTCCTTTTAAACAGGGGCAGCTGAGTTTTACTTTTAAGCTGCTGCTTGAACTGTTCGGTCCTTTCTTGTTTTCAGCCTAGTGCTGTTTGGATCATATGCCCACCTGCCTATGTTAATAAGGTGTATTTAGTTGCAACAGAAAACAAAACCTAAAGGGCTCTAAACAATAAGGGGATTTATATATATCTTGTGTATATAACAAGAAGTCCTGAGGTAGGGTGGCTTCAGCGTTCTATTTTTCTGCTCTGCTATCTTGAGCTTGTCCTGTAGGCTGTTCCTCTCCCTGGTTGAAAGGTGGCTGCTATAGTTCCAACAGCAGAAGAGGGAGGATTTCTGCCAGGTGTCTCCTGTATTGGTGGGCAGCCTTTCCCAGGAGCCCCTCCTGGACTTCTCATTGTCCAGAATTCTGGCACATGCCCCTTCCCAACTTCCTAAATGAAACTGACTTGATGGACTTAGATTAATCAAGATTTGTGCTTGTTGGGCGCAGATTGTGTAACCTTGCCTGGGAATGTGGCTGAAAGGGGAGGGTGAATACCCAAACAAAAGTCAGGGAATTTAAAAACTTCCATAGTACAGACAAACCCTAGTCTGCTTCTCCAGGAGCAAGAATATTCCACTCAGGAGTGAGTGGAATAGCAACATCCTTATCAATGTGGACTTAACCTTTTGAGTTCTTTCTTGTCTTCCCTATAACTTTCCTTAGGGTTTTTAATTTGCTTCCTGAGCATATTTTCTTACAGCAAATGCCACTTATGTTTCTCTCAATAATAATCATCACCTTGAAACTCAGCTCTGTATATCTTCCTGGTCTTTTCCTCGTAGGCTCTGCAGTTTCCAGTATAGTTGTGTCTGTCAACAAGGACTGCCTCTCCAGTTCTTATGATTTTCTACCGGCAGTTTTCAGTTTTGATAGTTTGTTGGCTCAGGGATCTTTCTGGGGGAATATATTGGGTGGTTTTCTGAGCTCATGACTTGCCACTTTGGGCTGCCTCAGACACAAAGTCATGAATTTGTGTACAAAGATTTGAGGAGCTCATTTTGAGCTCTGCAGAACTTTCTGATGACTGTTCTGATGGTTTATGTACTTAATTGATAGCTGTTGTTCACAATACAGAATAAAGTAAATCAAATTATTTTCTAACATTTTTTAAGTGGGCAGTGGAAACTTTGAAAAGAGATTCTTACAGGTGTTAAAGTTGTTAAACAAGGAGGCCATTAGACTAAGGTGGCTCTAATAATGCCTTTGGTAGCCTCATAAACTAAAACCTAAGCCAGAGTCAATGTACTTGAATCTAAGAAAACGAAATTCAAGAAGAGGAAATTTCGATACACCAAGAGGCACACCAGGGACATGCACACAGATGAAAGACCAAGTAAGGACCCAGCAGAGCGAAGAGAGAGGCCTCAGAAGAAACCAAACCTGCAGACAATTTGAGCTTGGAATTCCATCCTCCAGAAGTATGAGAAAATAAATTTCTGTTGTTTAAGCCACTCAGTCTGTGCATGGTGTCAACGTCATCAAATAATTATACCAGAGCCTTTTTTTTTTTTTGAGATTTGTGCCACTGATGTGTGTGTGCGTGTGTGCATACATGCATGTGAGTTTTAATTCCCTAGGTGATAGTGAAAGTACAGCTAATATTAGGAAAAATAACTTCTGCTGAATATAATGGGACCATAAATATTGATGGCATATTCTGGCACTTGGGCTTTATAGTGTATAAACAGCTAGAGAAACTTGTACATAATGCACCACCCATCAGTAAGGATGTCTGCTTCACAACTTTATTAGTGTAGAACTGGTATCTTTGTAGAGCTGCATGTGTGTGTACTGACCTCATTCCGACGACTTCAACATGGAAAGTAAAATCAAATGAGATAAGACAATGCAAATTGATAAAGTGAACAAAGTAATATTTTTCAGAGATACTCTTCTTGTACCAAGGTAAACCCACATACACCTTCATACACTAAAATCTATTTAGAAACCATTTCAAAAAGAAGGGAAAAGAATGAGAATGGTTATCCCAGGTTTTAGGTTAACATAATTTATAATAAAATGAAGCATTTTATGTATATGTATATGTATGTGTGTGTGTGTGTGTGTGTGTGTGTGTGTGTGTACACACACAAATATGCCAAACCCCAAAATGTGGAAATATTATCATTAGACTATTCAGTGACTGTATGGTATTGCTACTATATTTTCCATGTAATTCTTTTTGTATGATAAATAGTCAAAGGAAAAAAATTACAAGTGAAATATACTCAGTATTATGGATTTATCCTAATTCATTTAATCATTCCTTTAGTGATGGATACTGAGGTACTTTGTAGTTTCCAATTCAAACCCTTAGAGCTTCGGAAACAAGTTCACTTTTATGAACCTACATCATCAGGAAATATAGCATCCCTTCATTTTCTATATGACAAACTAATTTCAAGTTTGCCTTCACATCTTGCCAGATGAGAAAGAAGTGCCAGCTTGTCCCTTGACCTGTTCTCAGCTGAGTTCGGTTACAGTTTGTAGATCTTCCAGACTGGAGGACGTGGTGATTACAGGGAAGAGGTCCTATTTGTCAGTAAAATGCTTTTGTTGGCCAGGATTCAGCAGATGTGTCCACTGCCTAGTGCCCACAGTATGGCGGCAGCATGGAGCTTGGAAGCAATCCTTTACTCAGTGAAGTGAGTACAGAAGGTAACCACTGCCCACAATACAGAGTAAAACCTTTGTTCGGGATTCCAAGTGGTTTCTCCTGCCCCCTACATTAATCTTCTACTGAACAGGATGATTTAATTGTTCTTCGTCCTTTAAATTGCTCAGATTCTGCTTCCAAAGAAAGGAGGCCTGGACCAGGTTCTGAGAATGACCTTTTCCTCTCCTTGAAAGTGAGCTTTGCATCTTGTGGAGCAGAGCCTAAAAATCTTCACGAGGCACAGTTGGGGTCCTGAAGTGTCCTTTTTCTGTGGATCAGAACAAGACTCAGAAAGTTTCAGGATTATCTTTCCCTGAAAAATCTGTGGATTGCAGGAGTTGACCTAAAGGCTTGAGGTTTCTACATATTGGTGCAATTGACCGAGGGGATGAGAAGGTTCTCCAGCAGACTTGTGTGCTGCTGTGGCCATAAGTGGCTCAGTGTATCGCTTCTCTAGGATCCCATTCTGCAGTCAGAGCCTGGCAGCACTCATCCCACCATTGCATAATGTAAGATAAGTCCACGTGACCCAGATCCTGCAATTGGTGTTTTTTGTGCTCAGGATGAGGCTGACAATAGTCCTTCAACTGCAGTGCTCCTGTGCCAGTCTGTTTGTGATTCTGGCATTTTTCTTGGTTTTGAGGCCAGAAATGAGTGTGAATATCAGAGAGGACCCTCCCGAAGTCAGTGGTATTGGCAGGTAATTTGTAAGTGTCAGAGTAGAGGGTGAGTTCTTCCTGTACAGCCTGTGTGGGCTGCACCATCACGACACTTGGTCCTCGGCTCACACAAGGGACAGAGGACACATGGGATGGGAGAAAAGCAGGTAGAAATGTTTGGTTCCAGCTGAAAGAATTGGAGGAAGGAAAAGGATGAGACCAGCCTGAGAGAGTGGACAGGTCAATTTGGTGCCACTGAGCTGTCAGGTCTGGTGTCCCACTTGGGCCATCTGGCAAGGAATTCACAGGCTCACTTCTGCTCTGCCCTGGGGACAGAGATCTTTGGTTCTGAAACCACATCTGAGTGAGGAAAAGAGAGACACAAACATCATAAGACAAGCAGTTCTGGCTGTTTCTCAGACCATGTAAAGCAAAGGGAGTATTAATATAGGCCCCAATATCAGGACAGCTTTATATACATATAAATATATATATATATATATATATATATATATATGAGATATTTATACATATATATGAAATATGTGTTCAGTATGTGTTTGTATATGTGTGTATATACACAAACATACAGACACATAAGGTCATAACACTCAGCAATCAACTCTAGAGGAATTGAAACTGGCTGAAAAGGACTATATTCTAGAATCCTCCCTCTAATTACAACAATGGATCAGCAAACAAGTTCTCTTGACCAGGTTAACATTTTTCTCTTCACTAGTGTGTGGATAAGAATGTGTATTGTATGTACACGTGAATAGATCTGAACAAGGGTTAATAAGTTTTTGAGGATTTCTGTGCTGATAAACTCATGAATATGCTTCCTAGTATTGAGTATTTACCATACTAAACCACTATCCCCATAACGTAGAAGGTATTGAATGGGGCAACTTTGTTCCCCAACTGGGGGACATTTGATGCTGTCTGTAGGTTTTTTTGGGTGTCCCAAATGGGAGGGGACATGGGCAGGATGTCTAGTTGGTAGAGGCCAGGAATGCTGAAAAAATATTCTGCTAGGCACCAGGACAGCTCCTTACAAGAAAGAATTACCTGACCCAACACGACAACAGTGCCAAGGTGTAGAAAACCTGACACAGTGTTCTCAAAATGGCATTCACTTTCACACTTTCTCACATTTTCGCTGCTTGTGATTCTAAATGGATACACCACTGACTAAGTGATTTCAAAAGCCTTCCTATTGTAGGAATCTGGCTTGCAATGCCAGGACTTGACCATGCTATACCTTTGTCTCTTGCTGATTGATAATCCAAGGTAGGTCAACTCTTTTCCAGCACCCCATCAGGGGAAAGTATCACAGTTAGGAGATATTTGGTGCCACACACATAGAACTTTCTTGAATTTTTGATCCCGGAATGCCTGTTTGTTTAGCCAGTATTTTCCTGGTTGCAATATCAGGGATTCGGTTCCTGTCAGAGGCTTGAACTAGGATGTTTGATTGAGATATTGTGATGGATGTCTGGTCTTGTCTGGCTTCTTTTGGTAAGTATTCTAAAGGATGACATAGGAACAAAAGGTAGCTTTTGCAACAGTTTTCACACTTGAACTGGAAACTCAAACTTGAGAAGATAACGCTGACCACACTTCTTCTGAATCCCCTTGAGGTGACAGCAGAGGAGGGCGCTGCCATGCTTCGAGCAGCAGGCCTGAAAGGTCCAGAGCCTTGCTTCTAAGAACTTGCTGTCCCAGCCAACGGTGGGGCCATGCTTATATTTCTGACACAAGAGTGCCTAGAACAAGCTGTAATTGGCTCCTCACAGAATATTTTGTGGAGAATTTGGACACAATGTGCAGAATGATTTCCACTCTCAAAGGGACCCACTGAAGAAATGCCTTTGGACCTGTGGGTTCTTACCTTGAGTCCAAGGCTTATGCTGGTCCTGTCTCTGGGTTTGATCTTTTTCTAAGGATCCAGATCCCAATTGTCTCTGTTTTACTCTGTGGTTTTTAAACCAAATCTAAGTGGGAGAAGAAGTGAAACTCATGTAACCCAGTCTATGTCATTCCAAATATCAATGCAATTAAATAAAACTGATCAACTGCCATTAGGATAACATCCATATGAAAAAGGCGATGTATTATCCTAGGAACAATGTAACTATTAGCATACAATTCAGGACAGCACACAATCTGCTTTCAGCTCAAATGGGCATTTCTTTTATGGCCATCCCCATGGTATCCCAAGTACGTTTCCCTGATTTAAGAGACATTGTTAGTTCTCTCATAGGAAATCAGTATTTCTCTCCCCCTACCTCTGTCTCTCTTATAACAGGTCTTCAGTGTTTAAATGTCTTTACTTGGCCCTCATCATCTCTTCTTAAAAAATACGATTTTGTAATACACAATACTTATGGACATGATCTTGGAAAAGAATTTCTTTAACTGGGGAGTAGAATTAGTCACAGTCAAGAGATGGACTAACACTTGTCCACATTTCCTCTTATTTATTTTATCCCATAGTCAGGAATAGATAAGGAGACTTTTTTTTTTTTTTTTTAAGCTGAGCCATCCTGCCACCTGTTGGCAGCTCAGCTCAGGCCGGGAATTGAACCACTGTTGCTCAGAGCTCACCCTATTGAGCGAGCTCTTAACCAACTGAGCCACTCGACCAGCCCAAGGAGACTCTTAAGAGACCCTGTATACCTTGCTGTGACACTGTCACTAACATAACCAAGTGAACTCTGCTTATTTCCTCATTACTGGAGTCAGGATTGCAACATACTTTCTAATTATTTCTGAATGTTTTATTTTGATAATTTGTGATAAGATTTAGGGTGTCAATGACAACCAATATCCAAGGAACTACTCTTACATCCCAGGCATTGTGCTAAAAGGTTATATCTGTTCTCTAAATTAAATTAATTAATTAAAAGATTTTCAGATAAGTCTTAAGCAGAGGTGGAAACTGGAAACGTATGCATACGTGTAAATTAGTTATCACTATGGCAGAGCCAACCTCATCTTACATTGTTTCCTGAACTCGCCATTCTCTGCGTCAGTTCAAATGGGCCCAGTCTCTCTCATGCAGCTAGTCACTTGACACTCGCATAGGATGAGATTTGAGTAAACTCTGTCTCCCATACACAGAACAAAAGCATGAAAAGTAAAGAAAAATTTCTTCTTCCCAGCATTCCATCAGACTGAAGACCTTACAGCCAATGGCTCATTGGAGTCTATATATTTGATATAAAAATCTGAACTCATTGTTTTCCTCTAAAAGTACACTTTTATTGGTCTTCATTACTTTAAATACTGTTTCACCTGGAATAATTATGTTGTTTACAGCGATCTCCTTGATAACTGAAGAAATCCAACTTTGTTTCAGTAGTTTCATTGAAAATAATACAATATGGGATTTTATTTTCCTTCATACACTCCTGTGTATGAATTATATTTCAGATATTAATTAAAACAATAAAACACTAGCCTAAAAATTGGGAATTTACATGAGTTCCTGCCCCACAATTTCTGCATAATTATATATTCATTATTATTCTGTGGCATATATTCCAATACCTAATGATACCGTATAGTTATCATAGCGATCTAATTTCCTATATTCACTAAAATGGATTTAATTATCCTATTGAGAGAGTCTGAGCCAGTATATTCTTCTTCTCCCATCAGTGAATATGCCTAACCAATATTTCTACCACTGGTAAAAGATATAAACAGAGTTCTTGTCCCTTTTATTTGTTTTCAATGTTATATAATAGGAAAAACCTTCTGGGCAGCATACCTGACAGAATTACCTGGAAGTGCTGAGCCCAGCTTTTCTCTTTACCTTGACTCTGACAGATAGTGAAATAGAAACCTAATACTTACCTGACTGTTATACTCTGGAACACCAATTTCCTTGGCTAGTTGTTCCCTAGTAGCTGTATCAGGGTAAGGGCTGTGTTCAAACCATTTTTGGAGGCTATCCTTTTGACTCTGGTTGTAAACAGTCCTGCCTTGCCAGGTTTCTTTTTGTAGTATGCCTGATGAAGAAAAAATGGGGAGAGGAGTATGAAGGATGCGTTTATGGATTAAAATTTGTATGAGCATATGTCTTATGTTTATTTCAATGATTATTTTATATTTTTACTTTAGGGATACAGCTAAAGTCTTGCTAAATTGGAGACATAGTTTGGAGATACATACAATAGGAGAAAAACAAGTTTGTGATCTGAGTTACCAAAGGAAGAAGTTACAGAAAATTCACAAAATTACATGCAAAGAAAATGGCACACAGTAGGAGCTAGGAAAACTAATGGAAATAAATGACACAAGTAAAACATGGAAAAAATTAGGATAACTTTTAATAATAGGATAAAATATACAAAACTGGTACTTTGTGATAAAAATGCACTTTAGTAAAATTAAATATAAAACACTAGATATTCCATGAGATATTATATATATATATATATATATATATATATATATATATATTTCTTCATTTAAAGTGTCAACTTTAAAACTTTTGATAATCCACGTATGGGACTCATGGCTGTCATCTTAAATTTGAAATTCCAAGTCTCCAATTTTAAAGCACCCATCAACCTCTTGACACAAAACACCCCTGACTCCAACAATCTATCTCTCTGATAGTGTTTGTGAATTTAATCTTTATAAACTTTGGAAAGTAAACAAAGCATGTGGCATTCTCAAAGAAGAGAGTGAAAAAGCAAGATGGGAACTTACCACTTGCAGTGCTGTTCAAACCCATCTTGGGAAGAGGTACCTGGATTCCATAGAGACAGCAAGTAGGCAGCTGAGCAGCTCTTCAGGACACAAGGCTTATCAATGCCCAGGGTGACCCACCAGTTTCTTAAATACCCTTTTATTTAATCCCTTCATTAAATATTTAACACATTTAGAAAGAAATTGGAAGTAATCAGATTAAGAGGAAGTACAGATTCTACCAGGCAATTTTACAACTATCATATCTTTCCAAGTATGACTTAGAATCTGTACTCTCTCATATATATACATATACAATATATATAAACATTTTCTCTATAATGTTTTAGAACTCTAGCTTCTTAATTCTTTTGGTTTGATGATATGATTTTATAATATATGGATATCCTTACTTCACTTTGCATTTTTCCTGTTTTCAAGCTCTTACTGAAACCCATTTCTTTCCATCGTTGATAGTAGGGTTTATGTGTCATCTTGGCTACTCTATAAGCCACAGTTATTTAAAAAAAGACCCCCTAATCTAGTTGTTGCTGTGAAGGTATTTTGTGGTTTGATTGAATTACAGAATCAGTTGGATGTAAGTAAGGAAATTATCCTCAATAATCTGGATGGGGCTGATGCAATGATCGGAAAGTCTTAGGAGTAAAGTTGCAGTATTCCCAAAGCAAAAGAAATCACACCTGAGCACAGCAGCTTTTCTCCTTCGAGAGTTTCAGTACGCCCTTCCAAGGGCCTGACCTAGACATCTCATTCTTGCCTAGCCAGGTCCTACAAGTGTATAAGCAAATTCCTTACAATAAATGTCTTTATATGTGTCTGTACGTACATATGTGTGTGCACGCGCGCATATATATATATATATATATATATATATATATATATATATATATATATATATATATATATATATTCACTAGTTCCCTATATGACTTGAGTTCAGAACACTACTGATTCTGTTTCTGTGGCTGAACACTAAATAATACAGATGGTACTGGCGGTGGTTCCATAAGAACAGACTTTTTTTTTAGATTTTTTTTTTTATTGGGGAATTGGGGGAAGGGGAACAGACAAGTTGCTGTCCTTTTGTTCTTCAGTCTAG